TACAGTTTAGGGTTTAGGGTTTAGGGTTTAGGGTGATGCTTCCAATTCAACTATCCTTGTGGGCATTCTGAGACCGAACGCCCTAAACCCCAAGCCGAAAAACCTACACCCTCAACTCTAAATTCTGAACCCTATGTAACCCCCTTAAACCCCTTAAACCCCGTAAACCCTAAACCCCGGAACCCCTACACCCCAGAACCCTCGTGAACCAGGAGTCCCCAAGACCCCCAGTTGTAGTTTCTTGGGCTTAGGGTGTTGGGTTTAGGGTGTAGGGATTAGGGTTCAGGGTTCAGGGCTCAGGGCGTATCGTTTCTTCTTGCAAGTTTCGATATCCGGGTCTAGGGTAGCAGCCCACAAAAGTCAAAGCGCTCCGTTTAGGGGTCGAGGCATTCCCACAACACCCTGCGCCCTAAGCTCTAGGCCCGAAACCCTAATCCCTCAACCCCAAACCCAAAGCCCTAAGCCCGAAACCATAAACTCTAAACCCTAAACCCCTAAGCCCTCAAACCCTAAACCCTAAACCCTAAACCCTAAACCCTAAACCCTAAACCCTAAACCCTAAACCTCCAAGCGCGCAAGCCCAGGCTTTTGGTCCCTTCGTCGGGAGCTTCGCCGACGCATTCGGCTTGGAGGCTCTTTGTATTGGTTCAGGGTTTAGGGTTTAGGGTTTAGGGTTTAGGGTTTAGGGTTTAGGATTGAGGGCTTATATTTAGGGTTAGGGGGTTCACGATATCAGGGCTACGTACCTTGTTGAGGTCCTCATTATAAGGGGATCAGACTAGCTAAGGGCCTATTTTCGGGCTCCCCTGTTTTCGTAAACCTCACGTCTGCGCGTTCAGCGTTTCTAGAACCCTCGAGGTTGGAACCATGGGCCCTTGGTATGGTTGGTTCAAAAGGATTTAAAGGGATCCGAAGTATGGGCCCTTACAATGTACAGTGGTTATATAAAAGGGGATCCTAGTTAAGGACGCGGACTGCGGATCCCCGAGGAATCCAAAACTCCAAGGCCTAGGTCCAGGTTTAGGGTTTATGGGGTTTAGGGTTTGGGACCCAAATGGGGTTTAGGCTTCAGGGTATTAGGGTATTAGGGTAATAGGGCATTAGGGTCTTAGGGTATTAGGGTACCCTAAACCCTAAACCCTCAACCCTCAACCCTAAACCCTAAACCCTTTTTTGTTTTTCGCTGGCGCTGTTCAAGTCGCTCTTCTCCTTGAGGCGCTCATCATCATCTTCTCTCTTCTGATGGCGGTGGCAGCAGCGACGTGTTTTGGCTACGATTAGCAAGCACCCAAGCCCTATAAGCTCTCAACCCTTAACTTTAGGGTTTAGGGTTTCGGGTTTAGGGTTTAGGCTTTAGGGTTTAGGGTTTAGGACCCTACACTGTCAGCCGCAGAGGCAGTCCCCCTTGCTCCACGACGGAGATAGGCCTTGCTCTAAACCTGAACCTGAGTGTCGAAACCCAAACCCCTAAACCCCTAACACCCTAAACCCCTACACCCCTAAACCGCCGAGCCCCTGCACCCCTACACCCCAACGCGCCTAAGCACGAAACCACTAAATCCTGAACCCCTAAACCCTAAACCTTAATATCCCGAAACCCATGAGCCCCTTCCCTTGAAGTTTCGTTTGCCAGCAGCTCACCATCCATATGCGGGAGTCGTTTCAAGCTAGGGTGTAATGGGGTTTCGGGTTTAGGGGTGTAGGGGTTTAGGGCTCCAGGGGTTGGGGTTTAGGGGTTAGGCTCCTTCTTCATAAAAGGAGCCAACTATGCAGTTGTTTCAGGGTTTGCTCCCTAAAGCCTAAACCCGAACCCCCAAACCCTAGCTTTAAACCCTCTAAACCCTCTACACCCTCTAAACCCTCTAAGCCCTCTAAACCCTATAAACCCCATACTATAAACCCTATAAACCCTATAAACCCTTAACCCTTGCTTTACACCCTTTAAGCCCTATCAACATCTGTAAACCATTCAGGGGCTGTGCAAGCTGCAGGGCCTTGAATCTCAAGGTCTTTGGGAGGGGAGGGGGGGGGTAGGGTGGAGGGTTCCGGGCTCAGGGATGGGGGGTTTGGGGTTGGGGTTTGTGGTTGGAGGCAAACCCTCAGCCCTAAACCCTAAACCGTAAGCCCTCAACCCTCAAGCCTAAACCCTAAACCCTAAACCCTAAACCCTAAACCCTAAACCCTAAACCCTAAACCCTAAACCCTAAACCCTAAACCCTAAACCGAAGGAGGGGCTTGGGGGTTTAGGGAACCGGACAAGAATGTTTGACCCGCACCCCCCGCGACATGAGGAGGACATCCCAAGGGTTGAGGGGCTGGGGTTTAGGGTTTAGGGTTTGGGGTTTAGGGTGTAGGGTTTAGGGTTTAGGGTTTAGGGCTTAAGCCCCCACACCCTAAACCCTAAGCCCTTAGCCCGCCCAGGGTGCCCTTTGCCAGCTGGCCGCTGCAAATCGCCACGGCTGTAGCTCTGGCCTTCTGGGCGCAGTTAGAGAGTGTTTAGGGTTTAGGGTTTAGGGTTTTGGGTTTTGGGTTTAGGGCTTAGGGTGAAGGCTTGCCCTAAACCCTATTTTTTGGGGGTTAGGGTTTGGGGGTTTGGGGGTAGGGTTTTACCCCAAGTTTAAAAGAATCGGGTTCGAAACTCTTCTTTGCAGGGAGGCGTCGGAACAGCACTTGGGCACTACTTCCTAAACCCTAAACCCTGAACCCTGATCCCTCTGAACATTAAGTTTTGGGGGAGTCCCTAGTTGAAGCGGTTGGCCGCTTCTCAACCCCAGAACCCTCCGTGGAGGTTAAGGTTTAGGGTTTAGGCTTCAGGCTTTAGGGTTTACGGGTCTCTCATGAAGTTACGTGGAGATGGGATCGGGCCTTTGGAGTGAGGGTTTAGGGTGTCGGATTGGTTGCTTTTGGTGGTTGTGGGAATAGTTTAGGGTGCAGGGGGTAGGGTTTGGGGTTTAGGGTTTTGGTGGTTGGCAGGGTTAAGAGCTGGGGGCTTCCTGGAGCTAAACCCTGAACCCTAAACCCTAAACCCTAAACCCTAAACCCTAAACCCTAAACCCTAAACCATCCCTAAACCATGTTTTCGAGGCGTTCATGTGAGGTTCCGTGGCTTCCTGTTGCAAAAATCTGTCTCTCAGCCCTTAAACGCGAAAACGAAACTAGGACACTAACAACTTCGAGCTCATGTTGTTTTTGTTTTACCCTCTAGCCCTATATAAACCCTAAACCTCTTGGGTTGAGGGTTCAGGGTTTGGGGTTTGGGGTTTAGGGCTTTAAGCACACGACTCATCCACACACAATCAGAGGTGCTGTACATGGCCTTGTGGGCCATCTTCATCTCAAGATACCTGCTCCTCTACTCGCCTCCGAATCGGATTGGGGCGACCCAAGGCAAGGTCCGAGGGTTTAGAGGGCTTGAAGGGTTTTCAGAGAGGTTTAAGGGGTTAAAAGGGTTTAAAGGAGTTTAGAGGGTTTCAAGGGTTTAAGGGTTTAAAGGGCTTAAAGGGCTTCAAGGTGGTAAAAACCCAGTGGCATCACGAGCGGCGTTCTTCGAAGGTGAGACTTCGAGAAATCCAAGGCCTGCGAGGTCGTAAGTTGGAAAGGTTACAGGGTTTAGGGTTTAGGGTTTAGGGTTTAGGGTTTAGGGTTTAGGAGTTCGCAAAAGTTTGACAGTTCGAACATGTCGAGCTTGAAGTTCGAAACTACGAGAAGGGTTCGTTCAAAGTTTGCAAAGAGTACTTGTGACACCTATCGCTCCTTATACTGCCCAACGCGACCAACAGTCCCTGGGAGGTTCTTACTGAGGATCTCAAAACAGTCCCCCGAGAACGCTCAGGGGTCGAGGTTTAGGGTTTAGGGTTTAGGGTTCTGGGACCCTTTTATTCTTCTACATGCCCCCGTTTATACCCTATATAGCCCCTATATTCCTAAGTCGCCATTGTCTTACCCCTAAGGTCCCTTATGTCCCTCCCCCAGAGCCCCTGGATTTTAAAGCCCTGAACCCTAACCTTTTTTTGAAATGGGTTTAGGGTTTAGGGCTTCCCTAAACCCTAAACCCTAAACCCTAAACCCTAAACCCTAAACCCTAAACCCTAAACATCATCGCCCTGCACCTTAAAGCCTAAATCTTAAACGCGAACCCAAGACCTGTGAGTTCCGAGAGCCCCTTCTGAACTAGGACCCAGAGCAGGCCCTTTTTTTCCTTTTTTTGGGGGGCTTCGGTCCCCTTATAAGCCCCTTCAAAAACCAAAAGGGGTAAACTGTTACTCTTGGGTCTCGCGAATTATGGGGTCCTGAAGGGAGGGGGGTTCAAGAGGGGTAGGTACCTAAATAACCTTAGGGAAGCTTAGGGGGTTTTAGAGAGCAGTAGGGAGTGTTAGGGAACCCTGGATGACATACCCCCACCCTAAACCCAAAACCCTAAAACCCTAAACCCCCGAAACCCGAAACCCTAAACCCTCAACCCGAGTAAAGGTGTCTACTCACTGGGCGTGGTGCTCATTGGCTTGCCGTGGCAGATGCTGGGTATCGGAGCGACGTCGGTCCTTCCTGAAGGCCTGCTCAGGGTTTTAGGGTTTAGGGTTTAGCGGTTGATGGGGTTTCTTTGTGGGGTTTTGGGAGTAGTTCAGTTTGTGTTAAAGCTTTAGAAGAGTTTCGGGGCCGAAAGAAGACGGCACCTCAAAAGAGAGTCCGACCTCGGGTTTAGGGCCCTAAAGGGCCCCCATGAACCCTCAACCAAATCTGATCTGACGACTGTAGTGCTTGGTCTAGTTTTGACAAGGCAGGCGTTCGCGCGCGTCACGGTTCAAAGCCTTACAAGCCCTTATAGCCCGCGCTTGTTTGCCCTGCCTTGCTGTCAGTTAGTCACTAAACATAAATCAGACCCAAGCGAAACACACAATCCAATACATGAAACACCGACAACGAGCCTTGGCTTCTCTGATCGACATAGCAACTCCCGACAGCAAGAGAGGGGAAAGTGCCCCGATAGCTCGCCACCCTTCATGCGCGGCAGCGCCTTCATTGCCGGAAGGGTTGCTGGCCGCTGCCAGCTCACGGCGGCAGAAGCTGCGGCCGCTTCTCTGGCTGCTTCTGCGGTGGCGTCCAAGGCTGTCTACCATGACCCCACGGTCCTCCGCAAGGCCCCCATGCACCACCAACTGGTGGAGGCAGACATCACCAAGGAGTGGCGCCGCGCGCAGCTCGAGGCTTGGCAGCCCAGTGGTACCCTTTTTGTTTATGCTTTCCCTTATAAAATAGCCAGAAAAGGGTGCCCTTATCATGATATGGTAACTTGGCTACCCTGAACCCTGAACCCTGAACCCTGAACCCTGAACCCTGAACCCTGAACCCTAAACCCTAAACCCTAAACCCTAAACCCTAAACCGAAAAACCCTAAACCCACCCTACCAAGGAGGCCTTCCCCTCCAAGTACCACGGCTACCGCCTCGCCGTGCCCGAGAGCGCCAGTGGCGACGACTGGTTCCCAACGCCGCACGGTATCTTCGTAGCTGAAGAACACTTTAGGGTTTAGGGTTTAGGGTTTGCACTTATTGGGATATTATAACCCCCCTATAGAACTGAAAGTGTACACCTTTTTGGGGGGCTTATGAACTCAGCAACTAAGGTATCACCTGCACCGACGCTTGCTTCGCATTCCCTGAGATATTCCGAGGCAAGGACGTTGTGGAGCTGGGCGGCGGCATCGGAAACCAGACCATCCTCTTAATCCACGCCCAGGCACGCTCCGTCACCGTGACAGAAATCGACGACAGCCGGCACAATCAGAACCGCGCGATGCTGGAACTCAACAAGGGACTTCTCCACAATCTTGACGGCACCGGCAGCGTCGTGACGTACATTGTCCAGGATTGGATGCGCTTCTAGGATGCCCAGTAGTACCCTTGTTCCCTTTTTTGGGGGTTTAGGTTCCCTTATAAACCCCTTTAAGCAAAAAAGGGCACCCTTTTTAAGCCTAGGTTACTGGGCAGCCTAGGCTTCAAGTTCCGTGCCGACGTCATCATTACAAACCCGCCTTTCTGTATGAGCGGTCAGCCGCGCCGTCGGCACTTCATCGACGCCCTGTGCCACCTCAGCCGTGATGCGTTGACCGAGGATGGCAAGCTGGTCTTCTCGCAGTCTTCCATGGCTGATGTTGAGCAGACGCTGCAGACCCTCAAGGAGTACGCCTTTGATGCTAAGATTATCCTCTCAGCAGACTTCTACTGGAGGGATTACTATGCAAAGGATGAGAAATTCCTTGAGGAGGTTGACGAGCTACAGCAGCGGACGGGAGGGAAGGCGTACTATACCAAGGGTGGGAAGCGTGTCGAGCGCATCTACGTCGTCGAGGCGACTAAGAAGCCATTCGAGCCGAACCTCAAGCACTGAATCACTTGGTAGCCCAGTGGTGCCCTTTACCTTTTTTTTGGTTCTGGGTTCCCTTATAAAGTAGCCAAAAAAAAGGTGCCCTTATTATAATTTGCTTACCGGGCTACGAAGAATCAGGGCGAAGTACCATCGGAAGGAGCAGTTATAGGGGAGTGTTTCGTCCTTGGCACAGGTTCGTGCTTTCTTTCCTAATATTCAAGCCTCCCCCCCCCCCCCCCCCCAAGGGTTTTTTCGCGTTAGGAAAATGCAGGCCAGCCTACTCTTCAGACAGGCAGACCCGCCAAAACAGCACCGAATGAGGGCAGGGGAGACCCTAAGTCCTAAATCTGAAACGCAAAACTTGAACCCTAAACCCTAAAGCCTAAAGGGACCGACAGGGACTTGAGTCTATCTAGAGGGTTTGGGGCTTTTCAGAGTCAGGGTTCGGGTTTCTGCTTTAGGCTTCCGACCCCCCTAGCCCCCCCAATGTCGGTAGAGGCTTTAATAGGGACGGGTATGGGATCGGGTTTGGGGCCAGTTATTTATATGTATATATGTTTTTTGATTAGGGGTGTTCGAATGTTGGGGGCGGGGGGTGGGATTCATGAATCCCTCCCGGCTGTAGGGTGACGTTTGCAGTGTTCATCCATGGTACCGACTCATGTCATGTCCCCATCCCTGGGATTAAGCTCGCTCGCCTTTCACCCTAAACCCTGAACTCTGAACCATATACGTAAACCCTAAACCCTAAACCCTAAACCCTAAACCCTAAACCCTAAACCCTAAACCCTAAACCCTCCCTTGTCAGATTGTACCCCACAGGAGTCTAGGACCCCCAAGGTAGGCCCTTATTTCTAGGCTACTCTTGTGTCTAGCCCTAAACCCTAAACCCTAAACCCTAAATCCTAAACCCTAAACCCTAAACCCTAAACCTACTCCCAACATGGCGCTGAATTTCCCTTAGGCTTTTGGGAGCCCCTGGGATGCAGCCTTAGAGGTCCTAAGCTTCGGGTCTTGCTTCAACTTGGGGTCTACCCCTTAAAACCTTGGGGCTCCCCGTTTCGGGTTTAGGGTTTAGGGTTTAGGGTTTAGGGTTTAGGGTATAGGGTTTAGGGTTTAGGGTTTAGGGTTTAGGAAGTTCAGGGTTTAGGGTTGATCTGCGGCAGGCCCAAATGCGTATCGAATCCCGATGCTGACGTGCCCTGGCCACGACGGGTGGTGGCACTTCCACCTCCAGTAACCTCAGCTCTCAACCCTCGCCCTAACCGTGCTGAAGATATTGTACCCTAAACCCTAAACCCTAAACCCCAAACCCCAAACCCTCCAAAAGCAAAAACCTCGCGGCTAACGTTCGCGGGACGTTTGCTTCGAAATTTTGGGCGCAATAGCGATGTTTTGCCTGATACTTGAAGACATGGCTTTGGGAGGACTGTCCAATGTCTTCCCAACACTTTCTGACCCCCATTGGGGGTTTCGGGGTACCCTTTTGGGGGTTTCCCTTTTAGGGGGATTCTATTCCATTTGGTGTATAAAAAGGGCACCCTATGTCGGAGAAGTACCCATGTAATCATATCTTAGAAGCTTGCAATGCTTGGGGGCTCTCATCTCAGTTGGCGAATGCCGTGTCATGCGGTGTTTCGTAGTGCTCGAAGCTGCCGACAACGTTTAGGGTTTAGGGTTTAGGGTTTAGGGTTTAGGGTTTAGGGTTTAGGGTTTAGGGTTTAGGGTTGACAAGTGCCAGGTTCGCAAGTAACGGCATGGAGTCGCAGTCTAGGGTTTAGGGTTTAGGGTTTAGGGTTCAGGGTTTAGGGTTTAGGGTTTAGGGTTTAGGGTTTAGGGTTCAGGGCATCCCCTTGTTATGAAGTCGGGTTTTCGGGTTTGGCGCTTAGGCTTCCCTAAAACCTGAATCAAACCCCAAACCCTAAACCCCAACGCTACACCCCAAAACCTAAACCCTAAACCCTACAACATTCCAAACCCTGCAATACCTAAACTCGGGGGAGCAACCCTAAACCCTAAACCCTAAACCCTAAACCCTAAACCCTAAACCCTAAACCCTAAACCCTAAACCCCCAAGGTTTGCTGGTGTGGGCATCGTGGGAATGGCCCTCTACGCCATCTACTACAAGAACCATCCGCCTCCAGCTGTCCCCCCTCTGCGACCCTCAAGCACTTCAGGGTTTAGGGTTTAGGGTTTGGGGTTTGGGGTTTGGGGTTTGGGGTTTAGGGTTTAGGGTTTAGGGTTGAGGGTTCAGGTCTTCGCGAGAATTCAGGTTCCACCTGGAAATGTCCGTTGTTTTGGACACCATGAAGCCACGAATCCTCAAGCTTGAGCCCCAACCCGAAACCCTGATTCCCTAAGCGACGGCACCCTAAACCCCACGCAAACCTACGTGACCCTTCCGGGGTTAAAGCCCCTAAACCCTAAACCCTAAACCCTAATAGGGTTAGGGTCGAGGGTGTGCAGGGCTAGGGGCTTAGTTTGCAAGGCTTAGGGTTCACTCAGGGTTGGTAGCGCAGTCCTCGAGACTGCACTACCACCACCCCATAGCACGACCACTAAACCCTAAACCCTAAACCCCAAACGCTAAACCCTAAACCCCAAACATCCCTAAACCCTAAACCCCAAGCCCTAAACCCTAAACCCTAAACCCGGCTAAAGGCTGCCAGAGGACGAAGCCGAGTTGGCAAAGGGGTTCGGCTGCGGGAACTTGGATGAGGCCAGCTCCCGCGCTCTTTGGAGTAGGGTTTAGGGTTTAGGGTTTTGGGTTTTGGGTTTAGGTTCTAGGGTTTAGAGTTTAGGGTTTAGGGCTTAGGGTTTAGGTCCCGAGACCCTAAACCCCGAACCCTGTAGGGTTCGTAAGGTGGGTAACTGGGGAATATACTGGGGGTTTTAGGGGTTACTAGTAAACTTACTAAGTCAAAAGAGCTTACCCTAAACCCTAAACCCTAAACCCTAAAAATCCTTGAGATGCTTAGGGGTTTAGAGGTTTATGGTTTGGTGCTTTTGGACTCAGGGCACTCTCGCTCCTTTGTCCGAGATTTTGGGCTTTCGCCCAAACATAAAACCCAAGCACTTCGATGCATTGATGGCTTCAAGTTTGCAGTATAGGGTTCTTGGTAGAACTCGGTTTAGGCTTTCGGGTTTAGGGGTTAAGGGGTTAGTGGTTTAGGGTTTAGGGTTTAGGGTTCTGGGGCACAGCTTTGGGTTCTGATACCGGTTCTGACACGATGGTCTGCTACTATCGCCTCTGAATCAAAACAAAACAGCTGTGGTTTTATGTACAGCCAGAGGATTCTAGATGAAACTGTATCTTTCCCTGAGGCCTAGAGGAAGATTCAAACCACGACTACGTTTAGGGTTTAGGGTTTAGGGTTTAGGGTGTAGGGTTTAGGGTTTAGGGTTTAGGGTTTAGGGTTTAGGGTTTAGGGTTTAGGGTTTAGGGCTAGGGTTTAGGGTTCAGGGCAGTCGGTAGCCGTGCGACGTTTCGATGCAACACGGGCAGTCTCCTTGAGAGGTCTGCGAAGTCACGAACACGAAAACCAAGGCGGAGCTCATCAGGACCTCCCCTGTTCCTAAACCCTGAATCCTGAAACCCTAAACCCTAAACCCTAAGCCCTAAACCCTAAACCTTAGCCCGAAACTCGAAACCTTAACCTACAGGGTTTGGGGTTTTGGGTGCTCGGTGGCAGGCTTGATGACCTTGGGGGTGGATTCTGGGCTTCGGCTTGGGCGTCCTTGAGGCCTTTACAAGGGGTTCCGGAGGGTTTGGGGTTTAGGGTTGAAGGTTTAGGGTGTAGGGATTTAGGGCCATAGGTGTCTTAAAAGGCCCTTGAGATATTGTGTATTTTCCCTTGGTTCAAGAGGGATCATCTTCAGCAATCTGTCTCAGGGAGGGTGTTCAGGTTTCCGGTTTCAGCTTGCCTCCGTTTTTTCTTGCGCCCTACGGTTTTTGCAGGTTTCTGAAACGCCTGATAGGATTTAGGGCTGTGTAATCAGAGCATCGTAGCCCTGAACCCTAAACCCTAAACTATAAATCTAAACCCCAAGCCCTAAACCCTGAACCTTAAACCCTAAACCCTAAACCCTAAACCCTCAACCCTAAACCCTAAACCCGAGAGTTTCGGGGGTGAGGGCGCCGGCGCCGCAGGAAATTGGCTTCTTCCAAGCCTGAAGACATGCTGCCTGGCTGAGTTGGGTTTAGGGTTTAGGGTTTAGGGTTTAGGGTTTAGGGTTTAGGGTTTAGGGCTTATAGGGCTCTACAGAGAAACGTTCTAGGCTTCAGGGGGCAAGAGGGCTCCGGAGTTCTGGGGAATTTTGGGCTCATAGGAATCCATGGTTTAGGGTTTAGGGTTCAGGGTTCAGGGTTTTGGGTTTAAGGGTTTAGGGTTTAGGGTTTAGGGTTTAGGGTTTAGGGTTTAGGGTTTAGGGTTTAGGGTTTAGGGTTTAGGGTTTAGGGTTTAGGGTTTAGGGTTTAGGGTTTAGGGTGATATGGCAACAAAAAACTAAAGTTTGCTTCCAAGATAGCCCTTACTTAGTACAGGGAGGATCTTTTTCTCTAAGCCCTAAACCCTACCTGGAACCTCAACCCTCAACCCTCAACCCGAACCCCTAAACCCTAAGATCCCGAAATCCTACCACCCTAACCCCTAAACCCAAGACAACCTCAATCTCAAGGTCCCGAAACCCTAGCCCTAAACCCCAAACCCCAAACTCCAAACCCCAAACCCGGCCCAAACACCAAACCGCTAGAGCTCGTTTTATCTCTTTTCGCAAACAGTTCGAGCTTTATCGCGCCAACATTTCTGAAAGATTGCACCTGCAGGATGTGCGGCCTTATGACTCTCCGCACATCTGTAGCCCTCTGTGGCTCCGGCGTCATCGCTGCTACTTTTGTGCTCTCAAATTTGATTTCTCTTCTAAGTCCGAACGTTTTCTTAGACGTTGCCCTGACAAAAACTTGCTTGATTCGCAGCTGGCCCAGCATTGGCTGGATCAAATCACTGCTGCTCTCACAATG